GATTGACGTATGATTTTTTCACACCACTGAGATTAAAAATTATTTATATAGTAAAAGAACGATGGGAACCTGTATTATATTCATTACCAAATGAAAAATAGACAGATTTAAATATATAAAATAAATAAATAAAACATAATTACATTTAACATATCATTTCATGTGGGTAATAATGTTCAAAGAATGTTATGACAGTATAGAATATATATTATAAAATAGGAGATTAAATTAAACCGTTCTCTTAATTTAACAAAAAAATTAATGTATAAATACAAAATGAAAATTTAAATTAATCTATGTCCTATTTAAAACTATTTTAAATATTTTTTATTCCTTAGAAAATCAGACCAACGCTACCATTTTATTCCTCTCTCTTTTTCCATAAAACTTTTTCTTTCTCCGATGATTAGGGTTTTTCTCAAGTCAACACAAAGGCTTTTCGAAGTCATCACAAGATGAAAGTTGAGAACCGTAAGAAGGCCACTTTGTGTTTATATCTAGTACCTCAACAATATCCAAATACGACATTGAATAATTTTTTTACATGATCGGCAACTTTTTACAATTTTTTAGTCGAAAAAATCTCGCATTTTGACGCTGAGATATGGGAAGTCATCTGAGGCGAAGAAAGAATAAATAAAAGAATATACTGACAAAACTTTAAAAAGGCATTTACGTAAGAGGATTTAGGTAATAATTTCCATTCCAGGGGGCATTTCAGGAGAAACGCAACGTATATTTTTATTCTAGAAACGAAGAGGGAGTACACATTGAATGTGTGTGTCGGTGTGGTACGTGCCGGGGTAGGGAAGAACATTCTTCAATAGGGTTCGTTAGGGCATCGCCTATTCTTTTGTCTTCATTATAACTGTCTCATTAGAATATGACCTTAGAGAGTTGAGGAAGAAGCATCTGGTATCGTGGTAAAGATGAAGTATTTTTGAAATTTAGGTTCAACTGTCAACTTCCAGTTGCATTCCTTTGTATTTCCCTTGATAATATGTATCTACTTTAAAACAAAAATGATTGATATAAAAACTTAAAATTAGAACGAACTCCTGGTGATTCAGAATTCTGTGTGTACTTCTATTATTAGTTATATAATTATTAGTTTTTTTTTTTAATAATCAATAATAAGGACTGGAGTACAGTGATGCATTAGAAGAAAAATCTGAAAAATCAACGTATTTCTAGAGTAATATTTTAACAAATTTGGAATACCTACCTAACCACTTGTAGTGCAGTATTGTTTAACGATTTTTTCGAATATCTCATATCCTAAATATATATACACCAGTGTAGTATTTTCTTATATGGTGTAAACATCATGGTTTTATTGTTCTGTTGAGATGATTTTTTTTAAAACTACTTTTTAGCCAATAACTCGCTAAACCTTTTGAACATCGTGATATACATGAAATGGTTCTAATTTTTAAAGTTGTATCTTAGATATACAAATCTAACTTATCGTATTTTTTAAAAAAAGCTTTTTATTCCGTTGAACTAGATTTTTCAAAATATTTTAAATAAAAGTATTATTATTGGAAAGACATTCTTATTAAATTCATTTCTCTAATAAGCCGTATGTGTTCACAGTTAATTATTATTTTCTTCTATTAAACACTTCAAGACCAGGTTTTAGAAAGAAAAAATTCTTTTGATAGCTGATGCTTGCAATTTACTTTTGTGAAAAATGGTCAACTTCACATAAATTGTATTATTTCCTAAAATAACTTTTTTTCAATATTATAATCTGTCACATTTAAGGACGATAGTAATAGTGATAGACAAATAGCTCATCCACACTATGTACAATAAATAAAAATAAAAATACCAAAAGTAAACACATATAAACTAAAAAAAACAACTAAACTAAACAGCTGATTTCAACTGAATTCAAGGAACTTATATTATAACTATAACAAAATATTCTAGTTTTGCATTTAGTTCCTATGTTATGTCTAACTTTTTAAAATTTCACACTTCTTAAAAATCCGAATGAACTGGCTACATATATTTTTTTCATCACATCGAAAAACTTATAAATCGAGACCAACCATGATATTTTGAATTTTTTACATCAAAATTTGGCATTTTCTGATTATCCAAATAAACTGGCTATTAATTCATTCAATTTGGGCACTTAAAAAACACATATATCGATACCAAACATGATTTTTTTTATTGAAATTTTTGATCCTTTCAATTAAGTTGGTTTAAGCTTCATTCAATTAATCAATAATGAAACGTATTAATTTGAGTTTTGAAGCTTGTCACTCAATTGATTCGTTTGAGATAAAAATTGTTTTCCTGTTTTACTTCTTTCTGCATCATTGTGTGAAATGTCCACGGTAAGGGGGAGTGCTTTCCGATTGAAGCCCCTTTTTTTTCATTGGTCCTATTTGTATGTTTGACAATAATTGAAATATTGTCGTTTTCTCAATGTATAATCTGGATATACTCGATCAAAAAATATGGATTTAATGTTTGATAGTTGAAAGGTCTGTAACGATAAGAAAAACTATCCTCAAAATTATGGTTAGTTAAATGATTATATGATATCATGTTTTCAAAAATCACACTTTCTAATCATAATGGATAAATATTTAAATTATAACATTCTAAATACAGTTTCAAGGAACAAATTAATATACGAATCAGGAAGTTTCTCTAGGAACAATATTATGTTTTTGCAACAAAAAGTCAAGCGCCATTATGAAGAGATTTTTCTATAACTTTGGTACCGGTCTAGCAGAAAAAAAGGAAGCCAAATATGGAATTATTACTTCACAGCAATAGCTTCTTGCATTTAACAAATTTAGTCAATTTATTTTAACAAGGCAACTTGTTAGCGAACTATTAAAAATTCTTGATGTAATAATGCTTTTTAACTGACTGTTTCTCCAGTACTTTCCCCAGCAGCCTTGATTTTAATTAATCGATGTTTCGCAATGAATCGATATGAACAACACAGCATCGGAATGCCTTCATCTTCATAATGTCCATTATTTCCCGATTATTGTTATCGCCTGTTTGACATGCATCCTTCCAACCGTCAAGGCTGATGAGCCATAGCTATCGATGAAGTAAAAGTCGATTTATTTGATTGGATGAAACGAAAAGTAGTCGACCTTTGCATGATAAGGGGCAGAAAAACAGAAACTGGTCGTCGATAGAACAAGTTTCGAAACTTAAAGTGATGAAATATACTTAGTCAGTTATCATATTTTTTTTGTGAGTATGTTTTACGCAAGAATACAATTTATGTAAAATAGTAATGAAAAAGTTATGCCTATAATATTATACATTTTGCTCAATATTTAATTTAAATAATATTAATGTATTTTTATTTTCAATGCTGGATCAGCAGATTAGATCAAATAAATACTTCAATCCACTAAAACAAACCAATTATATAAAGAAAAATAAATTGTTAGTTTAAATGCGCAAATTCGTTACAATTACTAATTACTTAAATTAAAAATTTGTTTAGTTTTCGCTTCTTATCTTGAATAACAAAGAAATACTTAACATAAATTTCCTATTTTTGCGTCAAAACTCGGACTTTTTTTTTTTTAGCTCTTGAGGTTTATTATTATCTGTTTAAATATTTCCTTCTACTTACGGGACATTCTTTATATATTTATTATATGTCTTTATCTTCTTTTTTCTTCTGTTTAGAGTATGAAACAGAATTTCGATCACCTCACACAAAGCAGTGTGAGTAGGTATAATTTTTTATTGTTTTTGTTACCTTCTATCTTTTCTATTCATAAGAGTGTATTTTTTGAAGTGTATATTATTTTATTTTAAAAAAATTTTATCTTTCAATTATCTTCTGCACTGTCCTCTCTATGTGGATATGTATATATATATATGTGTGTGTGTGTGTGTGTGTGTGTATGTGTTTGTTTTATTTTTTCTGCTGGTAATCTATTGTGTCATAGGTAGATCACAATACTTGTCTACTTTTTAACAATAGCTTCACATGTTTTCACTTAAACGTCTTAAGGAACACATATAAATCATTTATTTACTCTAGTTATTTTCTTTTATTTTTATTTATTGTTTTTTTTTATTATATTGTAGCACTAAATCTGACTACCTATAAAAGTTATTTAGCATTTCTTTCCAAGTTTATTTAGTTATAAGCATGTCGTTATTTTTTTGTACCAATATTATAATATTGTAACCGTTGTACCCATCCGCTTTCCTTAATATACCCCCCAAAACTATGTATATCCTCATTTTATTACTTGGATTGTAGTTACTCTTTATTATAATTGGTCATCTGGCCAGATTTATTGTCAATTTGTTTAAACAATATTGTTATTCTTAAGGGACATAGTCCCAGAATAAAGATGAAACTCTATTTCTATTTCTATTTCTATATATGCATATAAATATATTCATATATTTATAAAGGCCTATATCAAAATATCATATTAGAGGTTTCTTTTTTATCTCTTTGAATAAATATAGTCTAATCTAATATTGTTATTCTTTAAACGGTTATTAATCTGAGATATATTTTTAGATTATTTATTTTTCTTATTCCTGAAAACCTAAAATATAATAATCAAAAGTGATGAAACGATAAAATGGAAAGTGAGGTCTTGGTTTTTGCTTTGCCTTGGGTAGTTAAAATAAAACTTGATAATGAAATTATCTTGGAGCTTGCTACTTTACATTTCTGATTGAACCTACATGATGAGTGATGATGTACCGAAGACTGAACTTTCTTCTTCTTGCCGATGAGGTGGAGAACAGCCTAATAGCAACCGAAGCCGCAGACACTTTCGCAGACAGACCGCTAACAAGATGATCGGCCGGGCGGGAACAGACCCGCCTTCGCAGAGCTCCTCTTTTTACTTTCTCCGATCCCAGCCAGTTCCCCCCCATTGTGCTGTCCCCTGTTCCCAGATGCAAATCGGGTGAAATGCCGAGCTCTTATCGGAGTACATATTACGCCGAGTGACTAAGGGATTCAGCAGGAGCTACTAATTAGTTCTGAGGTAACAGCCAGCCTTTCCCATGCCATGTCCGACTGCTGCGGATCGAATGGGGAGACGTTGAGGCGAGGGTTGTCGATTATCAGATCTCATATAAACTCCTAAATAAGCATTTAACATATCTGTTACCAAAGATAGAAAGAGTCAGGTCGGTAAAAGAAAAAAAAAGAAAACGAGATTTCTTTTTAAAATAAGATGACACTCCATACCAAAAATGTGATGTAGTTTCTTATTTCTATACACCAGTAAATTGCTTTATCGTTTATAGTAATACATGACTTTCTATGACTAGCAGATTCAAGAGAGCAGGTAGGGTTTTCGGGCTGTAGCCCTAAAAATTTATATGTTTTTTCATTGTTCGATATTTTTTTTTTTTTTTTTTATCCTTCCCTTCCTCGCCGTTAAGGCTATACGGGATTTTCCCGGGCCAGAGAGTGTGGGTGGAGATTTAAAAAACTCCCCGGCACCGTTATGCGAACTTGTGACTATTTTTATATCTTTGATTCATATGTCAGGTTGCCAGGCAACGGCGGTGCAGTGCACACGCTTTAGCCCATTCGGCCACCCCGCACACTATTGTTCGATATTAATTTCTATGAGAGATCCGACCCAAATATAATCAAAATAAACACAGCATTGCAAGCATCAGTAAAACAAAAAAAAAAAAAAAACCTCCCTCTCCCCCCTCCCAAAAGCACTATTGTTTCTTTAATTACAGTTATAAAAAAAAAAAATGTAGCCCCAAAAATTTAATTCTGAATCCATTATTGCTTTCTGTTTTCTAACAATGACTTTTTCAGTACACACTTTATAGAGACTCAGTGTGCCTCAAAAGGGTCTCCCAATACCAGAGTAGATCTACGACTGATAAAAAATTACTCAACGTCAGCCAGATTCAAACACGTGACTTTGGTCTTAACAACCCAGTGTCTAACTCACTGAGCTACTCCGAACATAGTTAAGCACTATTTCTATTTTTTTTTTTTTTTTTTTTTTTTTGTTCATTCTGGCCATCTTCTCCTTATATTTATTTTGTAAATGGTTTATAACGTTTCTATCGTTTTATTGTCTAAAAACATTTTTACAATTTCATTTTCGTAGTTCCTCAAGATGTATTCGCTAAAAGCAAAATGTATATATTAATAAAGGATAAGGAGAGAGAAGAAACAGAAATATCTTTTTTCGGAACGCTATCGAAGAAAATAGTATTGCTTCGATGGTGGTTCTCACAGTCAAAAAATTATGCTTTTCAACTAGCGATTTTTTTTTAAATAATCAAAAATAGAATATTGCAACATTTATTTTTTATTTAATTTTTGTATTAATTTTTTTAATTCTTCACTATGTTCAAATATTTTTAGTTTCGATAACAGTAAAAAATCTGATATTACCACATAATACGCCATTCAATAGCAGTTGAAATATCTGCAAAATTTAAATAAAATAATTGAGAGAACGAAAGATTGAAGCGAATTAAGCCACTAGTCTAGTTAGTTGTAATTCGTAACAAAGTAGAAATCCTGTACATTTTTCAAAATCGTTTATTCATTTTAGAAACGGTGTATTGCTCCGAGTAAAAAATAGATGAGATATTTTGTTTTTTAGTTGGCATGCTGCCCTGGTCTTTTGTATATACAATGACCGAGTGGTATATAAAAAATAGTCCCAAAATAAATAACGTTATATAACGAGTCATCTCTTCTTTTCCAAGGGATGGTGCGTGAATTATTTTTGAGGAAAAAGTTTCTTTATTTTTTCTAATTCCTCCTAGTGCCTTATATAGCGCTAGTTGAAAAGCATAATTTTTTGACTGTGAGAACCACCATCGAAGCAATACTATCTTCTTCGATAGCGTTCCGGAAGAATATATATCTGTTTCTTCTCTCTCCTTATCCTTTATTAATATATACATTTTGCTTTTAGCGAATACATCTTGAGGAACTACGAAAATGAAATTGTAAAAATATTTTTAGACAATAAAACGGCAGAAACGTTATAAACCATTTAAAAATAAATATAAGGAGAAGATGACCAGAATGAACAAAAAAAAAAAAAAAAAATTGAAATAGTGCTTAACTATGTTCGGAGTAGCTCAGTGAGCTAGACACTGGGTTGTTAAGACCAAAGTCACGTGTTTGAATCCAGCTGACGTTAAGTAATTTTTTATCAGTCGTAGATCTACTCTGGTATTGGGAGACCCTTTTGAGGCACACTGAGTCTCTATAAAGTGTGTACTCTTAATCAAATAATTAATTAAGAGAGAAAATCTAGCCGTCGAGCGTAATCCTGGCCCGATCACTTCGCTGCACAACCGTTGATTGTCTTTGAAAAAGTACTTCCTAACAAAGTACTGAACCCAAAACCCTTCTGGACCTTAGTAGTACAGGCTTTTTTTTTTTAATGAAAAAACCATTCGAGTTCACACGTGATATAGATTGTTGATAAAATAAGTAAAATAAAATGTTATAAATTGTTCTGCTTCTACAATTTCTTTACTTCAGTGATACTAATGAAAATATTAATTAAAAACAATAATAAAAAAACTACAGTAAAAATTCTCACGTTTACGAAAAAAAAAATTAAATATATAATTCTTATTGAATATTGTAAGGTTAAAAATAATTAAATATAAATAAATTAAATTGATAAACATTAATATTCAATTAAAAGTAGGTTAATTATTATTGAGCTTTTTTTTTAAATTTCATTTTAACAGTTTCTGTGAAACGTTTTAGGAAAAAATATTTAACCACAAAGAGTTAAGATAGATTTTTGTAATAATGTTCTAGATTCATTGTAAAGCTTTATCTTTTATTCATTTATATTCTTAATAAAATATCTACCTTAAATAATAATTAACAGCAATATTGCTTATAATTATTTGATTCTGATGGATCGAATTTTTTGGTGAAATCAACAAAACATTTAAATAAACGTTCTGTAGAACCTAAAAGTTTTAATTCAACAATATTAGAAAGAAAATGAAAATAAAAGTTGAAATCATATAAAAACCGTCTAAAATAGAAATGAAAATTTCATTTCAAGGCCTGGTTAGAGGGAAGAAAAAAGGTACTTAAAGATTATAATGCTCAAGATAATCCTTAGGCGTGTGAGCGAGTTGATCGAGTCTCACATTTCTTCTTATAATACCATGCTTAACAATGAAGCAGCATAAATTGGAGAAAACAGGACTTTTTCCAGAGCTGGGCACTGACGTCCTTATTATTCGCAAAGAAATCTTTTCAAATTTTCGGAAAGGAGATGGAAAGCTGAAGGATAAAGGAAAATGAGGAGGAAAGGACAGGGAGAAACCTGGCGTGCTGAGGACAGGGCTTAAGCTAATGGTGATGGCACACTTATTCTTCACCAACTCCGGGCTCCCCTTCACTTCACCGTTCTTAGCGGGCTCTGCAAGCATATCCTGCGATTTATCGGCATTTCGTAACAGTTCAGTAATAGATTGGAAGGAACAGTTCAGTAACAGATTGGAAGGAACAGTTCAGTAACACATTTAAAGGAACAGTTCAGGAAAACATTAGAAGGAACAGTCCAGTAACATGTTTGAAGGAAAATTATTATTTAACTATAATTCGCCCCCTCATTTTAAACCTCCTATACCCTGCCATTCTGAATCCATTGGTAAACTTTCTTATATCTCTGTTCAAACAAGAATATTTTTTCAAAATTCTGATTTATGATTGAAACGACAAGAAATTTTTATTCAGTTTATTAAATGAAAATGCTCAGATATACCAATTTATTTGAAAATGAATCCGCATGACTATAGCAAAGCATTTATTATTTTATAGAGTAAAATAAAAAAAAAAAAAAATGATCTTCAAACTTTATAGGGACCATTTACAAATTTACAAAATCCAAAAAAATTAGTTAATTTGATAAACATTGGGATGTTTAGGAACCAAAACTTTACTGCAGAAACCAAAAAATACTATAAAACTTAATGAAAAACCTACAAATCATGCTAAGTATTTTTTTTTTAGCGAACCCAATTGGAATTTAAAATATAATAAAGTTTTCCATTTTCTTAACTGTTCTTTGTTAGCGATAACATAAGTTATCATTGATTATTGATATATAATTCTTCTTGTTATTGTTTTTTCTCACCTCTTGGCCTGACATCAGTTTTATTAGTCTATTTCTTGTAGTTTTATAGTATTAATTACTTCTAAACAGCTATAACGTCAATACGTTAAACTACGATAAACAATAGAGTTTGCACTTTGTAAGAGATTTTTTGAGATCGTTCGTTAATTTTGAATATATTGCACGACAACAGTGATGCAGAGAAATGTATAAAACCCATAGAGGCTTGAAGAAGCGTTTTTAAAATTGTTTGTTATATTGTAATTTTTTTTTTCATTTCTGTTTAATAATTGTAAATAAACTACTTAAAAACAAAATGCAAGATTATAACATAAACACAATTAAAACAAAAAAATTGTGAAAATGAACAGAATTTAAGACAGTCTCTCATAATTCATGTATACAGTAAAATGATAACAAGAAAAGCAATTCAACCACATCTTAAAAATAAAGATAAAAATGGGTCATTAATAAGAATTATTGTTTCCCATCAGTAAACGAAAATATTTATCAATTCAAGAAAAAAAACTGTACCAATACAATGAAGGGATGATAATGATGACACATAATTAATAATTTATCTGCCATCAGCTGGATTCAAACCTAGGAATTAATGCTCTGGAATTCAGTACTCTACCCATTAAGCAATCCCGCTCCCTATTAATAAAAGAAAAACATATAAAATATATCATAAAAGTTGAAAGTTCTCTTTTAGGCATTAAAAACAAAAATAGGAATTATTTATAAAGAAACTTTAAAACCGGTTAGATATTAGCTATGACTGTGTTTTTATGTTTTATATTTACTTATCTTTAGATTATTTTATTTTTTATTGTACAAAGTTTTTGATTATTATTTAGTTCTTATTTTACTTCTGTTGATTTTATATTTTCGGCATATATAGTGCGAATGTATTCATACATCATTATAATTATTGTCCATGTGACAGATTATTATATTTCTAAAGAAACTAATAAAAAACACAAAAAAAAGGGTTGATTTTTTATAGGAATAAAGCCTCCCTCATATTAGTGAACTATTCTTATGAATGAAAAACAAAACAAATTTTCGAGTTGTGAGAATATAAACAAAGTAAATGTGTCTCGTGCTTATGTAATATTTCACGCTTTGTGTCATGATAGTCAAAAAGAGAAGGGAGAAATGACTTTTTTTTTTAAGAGCGACAAATAACTTTCTTTTTAAGTATGCCTAAGAAAGTGAAACCGGATAAGGCACGACTGCTGGGATAGTATCTAACTGCGGACCCTTTACCCCATCTAGATCGGATGCTCTCCGGTAACCGAAGACGATGGGTAACACAAGAGGTGTGGCTGTCCCAGGCACCTACCTCTAGGAGGGGGGGAGGAAGTCCTCCCAGAAAGCTCTTAATTACAGACAATGTCGTTCCGCCCTCGTTAGTCCTAGCCCACATCCTCAAGCTTTCTTCTGCTTTTTCGCCTTCGTGTTCTTGGGAAGAATCGGTTATGTCACGCGGTTGTTGGGTCAGTGAGTCCACGGTCTGGGAATACCCAGGAACCGGTCCCACCTATGATACTACTGGGAAAAGGAGGGGATAACATCGGATGTCAAAATTAAATTGATCCATAGGAAGTTTTAAATAGAGATAGAAACAATGAAAAGAGGAAATAGAAATTTTCTCGATCGATCCCAGTAGATAATGTGTAGTACGTACATAAATAATACTAACTCTGTGATTAGGTATTTAACTAGTTCCGTTAAAATTTAAATTTAAATAATTGGAAATATTTTAAGTTAATTGCATGCATGTTTTATAATTCATATATTGTTTCTTCAACTTATTTTTCATAAATAAAAATATTATATTTTAATGAATTTTTACACTATTTTTGTTTTATTTTATGGAATTAAAAATATTTTCTAACGTTATTCTCGTCAGCCTTTTTAAATACAGATTGAAATATTTTATTATTTCGGGTTTGTTTTTACTAATAAGGCGTTTTAATATTTATAGCGAGGAAGAGTAGGAGTGAGATACTTAAGAAAAATATGTAAAGATTAATTTATATATATATAATATATGTATATATATATATATATATATATATATATATATATATATATATATATATATATATATATATATATATATTACTTTAGTGAAGACTGAATCAAAAGTGCCGTTTAATTACATGCTTAGTACAAAGTCATCCAAAATGAAAATACTTTTGTCGCCATAATTTTATTTTATGTGATTTATACTTTTATTTTTTCACAGTCTTTCCATATAGGTCCTTAATCAAGTTTGAAAGATCTTTAATACAAAAAAAAAAATAAAAGTATTAATATTAAAATGAAATATTAATAGTAGGAGGGAGGGACGAGGGAGGAAATGAGGAGGAGCGAGAGGAACATTCCAGGAGCGTGGTCCTTGCTGGCCGGTTCGTGGAAGAAAAAAAAAGGAAAAATCAACAAAATCATGAACTGGAATATTCATTATACAATAATCATTATAATAATAAAAACAAAAAGACTATTTTTCCCTACTTTTTATGTTCTTACTTATAATTTTATATATAAAAAGTATGGAAAAATAGTCTTATTGTTTTTATTATTATAATGATTATTGTATAATGAATATTCCAGTTCATGATTTTGTTGATTTTTCCTTTTTTTTTCTTCCACGAACCGGCCAGTAAGGACCACGCTCCTGGACTGTTCTTCTCGCTCCTCCTCATTTCTTCCCTCGTCTCTCCCTCCTACTATTAATATTCCCTTTTAATATTAATACTTTTATTTTTTTGTGTATTAAAGATCTTTCAAACTTGATTATGGAACTATATGGAATCACTGTGAAAAAATAGAAGTAGAAATCGCATAAAATAAAATTATTTCAACAAAAGTGTTTTCATTTCGGCTTTGTACTGTACTTTGTACTAAGCATGTAATTAAACGGCACTTTTGATCAGTCTTCACTAAAGTGGAGTCCAATATGCCAAAAAGTTTGTATCAAGATTCTGTAGCATTTCGTAATTGGATTGTTTGAACCTCATTATTTAAAAAATATAATATCTACGAAACAAGAAATAAATTGACAGATAAAAAATATGCGTACATGGGAACTTTCTAACAAGCGATAATAATTTTTTTTGGAAGCAGTGCTTAGACGCAATTACCCTGAGAGTCCAAATTTTTTTCCATCGTTGCACTTTCCCCCAAACTATCCGCTCACGCAAGCTGAGTGATCTCTTACAGGCAGCCACCCTACTTGTTCGAGGGACGTGACGCTCTTCAGAGTCACTGCCCATCCATCGTTGCTTCTTACGTCCAAATAGAACTTTTTTTTCCTTAATTACGATTGCTGCTTCAAGTTCTCGAAATATTATCAATATCATGAAGCAAAATCGACTTAAAAATATATTACAACCTGGATTCAGTTAAGGACAAGAAAGAATTGTCTCATGACGCACATTTGTTCAAGGAAAATTGGTGGATTTGTAAGGATGGGGAGAGCTTTTTTAAAATAAAAAAATCATTCTTTTTTCATTGGTCCATATTTATTTCTCTGAGTAATCAGAGGGAAATACTTTCCGTATCACAATATTACCTCTTTTTAAATTATTCCTCATATACTAAACAAAATTTTACTTCTTTTCTGAGGTACAAACTATAAAATAGTTCTAAATCGAAAACCCATTTAAATAAGATCTAATATACAGCTGAGTCATCATCCATAAAAAGGACTCATGGGAAACTCAAAAACAACTAGAAAGACATCAACCGAACAATCGATCGAAAAACCTTCTTGCTTATGAACAGTTATATTCGAGTTTTTTTTTAAAATGACTTGTTGATCATGTTACTATCATACATTATTTATTTTGATGTGCAAGATACCTCATACTTAAAGTTCTACAGACAGTTCTGACCTTTTTATAAACCCTTCTTCCTGTTTGTCTTGGAATAATAAATTATAGTGTTCACATAATAAAAACTTTATTTCGGCATAGTTTATTGTCCTAAACATTTTTTTTTAATAGATTTACACGTTTCAAATCCGGAGGTGTCGCATAAAACTTTACAATTTTAACATATCGTCTGTGATCACAGAGCTGTAATCATGATACGATCCGTGTTACAAATTAAAAAAAAAAACTAGAGCCACTGATGCAATACAATGAGTATGAGATGCTGATGTATGAGAGGATTATGAATTTATAATATTTTTTTTAAATTCAACTGATCAGAAATTTGTGTATCCAGTTTTTTCACTATCCACTCCCCCCCCCCTAAACTCAGCTGAACGTGTTCTTTAAATATAGATTGTGTTAATTT